CTACTTTCGAAAGCTCTGGCGACGTTATACCCACCTTGTCCAATTCGCTCTGAACCCCACCGAAAGTGTCCTTCTTCATGTCGACACCGTCATGACGCGTCTTCGACTGATCGTCGAGCTACCACATGAAGAGCGTGTAAACACTCTCTTGTCTCGGCCTGCGATTTCAAAAGGAGGAGAAAGAGACTGGACGCCAGAAGATTTCAGTTATTTCGAAGGACTGGATTGGGACAAGGTCATACCGGCGGCGTATCAGCTCTTCCGCATGTCGGAAGTGGTCCGTTTATGGGGAAACCAATGCACGCCCATGATTGCTATCGCCCTCCTGCTCTGGGCTATACAAGCCGTCACTGGCGTTGTCATGCCGCAATATTCTTCCTTCCAGCGAGAACTAGCCGCGTTCTATGGCAAAACCCCTTGGGGGACAGCGGAGAAATTCAGAGACTTACGGAACCTCCTCATCGCTTGGTCGACTTCGATCCTTGACGCCGGTCACTCGTTCCCCGTACTCCCTCTGCCGTCAAAGAATGGGATCGGAGATGGCATTCACGGTTACAACGCTGATAGCCGTCGACCCATACCCGAAGTCGACATCGCTGTCTGCGTAGCACCTACCCTCATAGCGATCTGGCCGCAAGTCGTTCGCGCTCGGCTTAGGGGACGAGTTGATGTTATGGCCTACGAGGACGAATTGTGGCTGGCACGGAAGATGATCGTTGTCAGCGCCGGAATCTATCACTACAATCAAGAAGCTCTACAAAAGCAACTTCAACCTCAAACGCACATGTCACGAAGGAAGGGTGACGCATCGACACCAAGGGAACCAAAGTCAAAGACGAATAAAACTAAGCAAAGAGCGCCCAGGATCTCGTACAAGTTCAAACTGGCGGCTGATGCAGCTCGAAAAGAGATTGTCGAATTTGAGCCCCTGAAACGAGCTCAAGTGAAGTCGCCTGCTGAATTATATCGCCAGCAACAGGAGAGGAGCCGGCAGTTGAGTGTCGCTAGGAGCATGAGTGTCCCGTCCTCGAGCTCTGCAGCGCCATCGCCTGGCCCTTCAGCTATTCCTCCACCACAATCGTCGTCGAACGAATTCGTTCCGCCTCCGCCAGAGAAGACTATCGAAGATCTGCTTGCTAGTCCAGATCTATCGTCTGACGAGGATTACGGATCCAACAGTGATGAAGAAGAGGTCAATGCGGTACCACCCCCGACACGACACACTGTGGCGCACGCAAATGGCCAATTGCAATCCAGCTCTCAGCCTTTCGCCTTCACAATCGGTCCTCAAGGCTTCAACATTGATACTCAACCTCAACTTCAACCTCAGTCTCAAGTCGCAATCCGTACATTGTCTGAAGCGCGTCCCAACGCCGACTCGTCATCTGACCTCTCACCTTCTCCCGCTCTCATGGCACGCCGTCTTTCAGTTGACTCACATGCGGGTGGTGGCTCAGCATCCGAAGCCGAAGCAGCTATCTCGCAAACTCAAGCGCGGATCCCTACGCCGCAGATATTCCCCACCTCGTCTCCTACTTTGAGCGACTCTAGACTCAGTACACCACTCTTGTCTCAAGTCGTTACGCCCACGCCTTCAAGTACTACCGCCTCCCGTAGCGCCTCAGCTGCTCCGCCTAAGAGGGCGCCTCGAGTTGCTTTAGAAGATGACCACGTTGGTCTGCTCGTTCGCGAAAGGGAAGAATACATTCAGTTCCGCTTGCCCCAGTTGTACGAGTCCGGTTATGTGGTCCCGCCCGCCTGTGAACTCGAGATGTGGAAATGGCTTCGAGTACAGGTCAAGAACGGGTCAATGCCGCGACACGTTGACGACGCGTACTTGCGATCCATTGGGATCTCCGGCGACCCTCGACGTATGGACTTGGGAGAATGGGTAGATTCGAAAAAGGACGTCTGGTCGCCTGTTGAAAGCCTCCTTCGAGCCGGTATCAGGCCTCAGGAGATCCCACCGCAACATATTCCCTTCTCGATGATTCATCTCAAGCTGCTCCTCCACCATTGGAACAAGACTGATCTGGCGCCTATAGGCGAGGCCGTGCAAGGCGCCCAGTTCGACAAGGAGATCGAGATCCTCTTCAACGGGGATGATGCGGATCAAGGCGATATATGGAGTCAAATGATACTGAATGAGAAGGAAGCCAAGTCTCGAAAGCAGGGCTATATAAAATCAGGGGCTTGGAATGCCGATGGCGAAAAGGAGGTTTTTGTCAGAGGAAAGCAATGCGCGTCTTCTGGCAAAGCCAGAGTGGTCAAATCGATAGCTAGGGGCGGGGGTCTAGCTGACTCCGCAGCAGCGGAGGATGGTGATGACATCGGCTCAGCAGACGAAGAGGAGGAGGGTACAGGAGTAGATGGAGCTACGGAGGATGATATCTGCGATAGTGATTACATACCGTCAGCAAGTGCCGGTCAAATGACTGCTGGACGTACCAACCCGAGTCGAACGGTCAAGAAGGGTATCTCGAGGATCCAGCAGAATATCCGACAGTCAATCACCAATAGTCGCAAGCAGATGGACGGTCTAGAAGGAATAATCAGGGTCATGCAAAGCGGGAATGAGAATGACATGTCAGCTGCAGGCGGCAGCGTTGATACCGCGGATCCCCTTCAGACTCGCTCCATCGCTAGAACAATCAACCCGAATTTCGAGGATGGTAGGGAGGCGGAGGTGGATGTAGATGTCGATCTTGACATTGATGGCGTGGATTGGTGCGAAGGGATGATCGGCGCGCTCAACTTCCGGGAAATGGGTATCGTAGATGAAGTTGGCGAAATTGACGTTGATGATGTCGCGGACGAAAACGAGAATCCAAATCGAGGTGGACGCTCTTCTGGCACAGGCGGAGCAAGAGCCACTAAGACGTCTACGAGAAAGAGGAAGAACGCGATGAGTGGACCTGCGCAGACTTCACCGAAGAAGCCGGCGAAGAGGTCCAAGAACGGACAAGCACAGAGCAGGGGCGGGGCTTCCACATTCACTGGCATCGCGTCGACCTCTCCCACGAAAAGTCGTACAAACACGGACGGCGGCCAGGATGTTTCCAGCGTACAAAAAGATTCAGGAGCGGCGACGGAGAGTGGGGCATCATGGGCCATGTTGCCTCCTTCTCTGACGAACGGTTGAATGTTGAAGCAATCGCGTACGGCAACCTCTCGTACTCAGTCAATGTGCAGCCGCATAGTGACAGACATACAAGAGGGAGCCGGATATTGTACAGTAAGATCATCCATCGTGTATCAATACACCCAACCATCAATCTACTCTTTATATCATTTTGTAGAATAGGCCTGTACGACGTATACACTATATCCGAGCGTAGAAGAGATCTCCGTTGGACCTGGAGGATATCGTCAAGACAGCCCTGGAACATGTTGTATATATACTGAACACAAAGGGTACTGTCTATAAGGAGACGTCAGCAACATGCAAACCGAGTTATGTATCACATGTCGAAAACGTCAAACTGCAAACAGTATAGCCCTAACTTCGCTATTACCGATCGGTGACCCGTTCAATCATCCATATCCCTCCCACGTAGTCGTTCTTTTTTTCCCTCCTTGTCCGATTCTCTGTCATAACTCATAACAGCCACACAACTCGGATAAGGAGGAGCCAGAACAATAAAATAGAACTGTGAAGCTTCTTCTTCTTCGACCTCTTGATCTTTCACTCATGACATACTGTAACTTAGAAACGGTCTCATTTCCAATAATCGCCTCCTCGCACAGCTCATCCAAAGTGTAGGCAATCTGATTCCTCGACGCCTCACAAGGGGTAATACATAGAGATGATCCAGACTTTGTTTCGGTGGTCGCTTGAAGCTCGTTCATTCATCAATTGTCAGGCAGGCATCCTTTTGAGACCGCCATATGATTTTCGTTTTCAGGTACATCAAAAGGTACATACCCCAGTGAAAAGCCTAATGCTCAGCCCAGACGACGACGATTGTCTTCAAGGGCCGATTTTAATTGGTTTGGTAAGATGCCTACTTGACCAGGGACTGTAACCAAGTCTAAGTGTATCCGACGTCGCTCCGAAACTCGTCCTTCCATTGCCTGCTCCAGAGCCTTCTCCATCAGGTGCCGATCAAGATAGAACCGCTACAGTATTCTCGCCCGTGCGCCCCCTCCGCTATAGAGATAGAGGCATCGACGGAGCTGCAAGCTATCGCCACATCCTGTACGACTACCTGTTACTGATTTGCTTTCCGGCGCGAATCAACGCCGGTTACCTCGCGCCTCCACCCAAAAGGAGTACGTACGTACGCAAGAAGGAACGAACGATCGCGAGGATGATGTTATAATCGCTTCACCTTTATTTGGTGCTCTGTGCACGAAGCAGTCAATAAACGGCAACTTTCGGCGCCGAAATAGATCCATCTGTTCAAGTATAGCTGGGAGTTACCTATCCAGGTAAGAACGATCAAGTTTATGATCGAGTTACAAAGTGAGTGCGAAAGCTAAATAAGCAAGTTACCGTAAAGTGAGAGGATGGTATCTTACTAGCTTAATTCTGTGTACATGGGTCAGATGATCACGAACCTGAAAGATGGTGAAAGATAGATCGCTACTAGATAGGCCAGAGTGGCAATCCAGGAATAGCAGGTTCGTCGTTGTGTTCTTGCATATGAGTCCCATCGTTGCGGACGCACGCGGCTTGTTCACAGTTCACGGACAACACGCATCTTGTGACATCCTATATAAACCTGACAAAAAAAGCTCTAACACATGTCCCATGGCTAAGTTGGTTAAGGCGGTCGACTGTTAGTTACTAGCATGATCGGACGGTCGTGAGTTCGAGTCTCACTGGGACAGTGTGGTCCTCCACATTATCTTTTTTAAGCCTTTTTTTTGGTAAGATTTTTTCTTTTTATTCCAATTTTTTTTGGGTTAAGTAAGTCCCGTTGGCTGCACTTTTGGGTGCGGGTTGCGGACAAAAGAGGTCTTCGAAGATAAGCAAACGAAGGCTAGTAAAAAAGATATGAGAGAAGTGGGATTCGAACCCACGCGCCGAAGCACCGGAGAACATCTACTTCTAGACAAGCTGTTAAGGCTTGAGGCCGGCCCATTAGACCACTTTGGTATCCTCCCTATTGATGTTTAGACCCACAGCGTGTCGTATATATAATCGTAGGCATAAGATGCACATAGTCATGAGCCTACATTCACCCTCCTTCACCTGATAGTACCACCGTTACACCTCAATAACCACGCTTCACTTCCGTTACTGTATCTTGGCCGGCTGTTGAATGATCGGACCACAGCGGACAAGTTCTCTCCGGGAGGACAGATTCCGACTGTGCGTTGATTCCTATTATAACTTGGATTCTCTGCCTGAACCAGAGAATCCAAGCTATTCATGATAAAATAGAAAGCCACCGCCAGTTTTGCGGTCGGCTAGGGAATGTAACCGTTCATCTTACCCTTAATAGCTTCCTTCCTCGGTCCGCCGCGCGCGGAGTAGAAAGCATTAAGCTAAGGGGGGGGGGGGGGGGGGATGACGGGCATGGATTGCATTGGACGCCATTAACGCTATGGTGTAATTACATACTTCACACTACTACACAATCTAAGGGTCATGTCAGCTCTGTCACCGTCACTTACTAGCTTAACTCTGCTACTCTGAATAGATAAGTTGAATTAACTGGCGACTGGGCTCTGTCTTAACTTGTGCACCACACTATCTCCATGGTCATTCACATGCGCACTTGATCTCACAACAGCTTATATCATCCTTTGTATCAATTTGCTTATACCATCATCAATAGATTTCATTTCGATTGGATTGCTCGCCCCTCTTCAGCAGTCAATTCAGCGAGTCGACATAACAGCTTCGCCATGTGTACCTCATAGCATCCATTACTTCCGTTTTGTACAGAGTAGCGTGAGTATGCGAGCCATTCTTCAACGATATCACTTTGGCCCCACGACTCCCTACAACGTGATCATGAATGCATCTCTCACTACTGTCTACCCCGTTGTATAGGTCATCTGTCCATTCCCACCATGTCCGGGGGTATCTTCTTCCTCGACGAGGATCGAGAACGTGATACTTCGCCCGACCCATCCCCGTCCCCTCGCGCTTCTCCGACTCTTTCAGCGGATACTTCAAGATCCGTGCCAGCGCCCAGTGGCTCGTCTCAGTCCAGCTCATCGGCTTCGACGACATCGATTGTACCTCCTACCATCCAGATACCGACGCCGTCCATACTCTCACCCACGCCCACGCCCTTGCCCCAACATCGGAAACATAACGCCTCGTTTGCCGCGACCCCGTCATTCCCCTCCCCACTGGCACAGGCCATCACCGTGCCGTCTAATTCAGATACCTCGTCATCCTCGTCTCATTCGTCGCCGAACAGCTCTGATGATGAGAGAGAACTGCGGCCGCGGCGGCCAAGCCAGCAAGGATCAACGGGTAGCCGGACGCCCAGGCGCTCGTTGGAGCAATTCCCCCGACCGAGGACAGCCAGTCCGGTCTTGCCTACCAGCAGACCTGGAAGTCCCTCATTGTCGCAGAAATCCGACTCAAGACCGGCTAGTCCTGTCATAGCAGCCCGCCAGCAGGCAGTCACTCCTAGCTCTCTTCTCATGAAGAGCAAGAGATCTGCAAGTGGATCAGCTCTAACAGGTAATCTGCCGTTACCAGCATCACGACAATCTCCACCTCACCCGATCAAGAAGGAATCGCCGACTCATCCTGCATCACGGCGCTTCGAGAACATCTCTAAGAGTCAATCAGGAGACACCTCTTCCACTTCCTCCAGAGGGCGAAGTGAGAGCAGCGGGAGCTCAGTCGGATTAGGAGTAACGGTTCCAGGATCAAGCAGCGTAGCCGGGTCCAGCCCATTGGCGTTTGGTAGCCCCGAGCTGGAGCCTCTGTCAGGAATAGACGCATCGCCTCGCCGGCGGTCGATCGCCATACCCCCTTCAAGTCATGAAGTTTCAAAGGAAAGCAATATATTGGGCCTGGGATGGGGAGCGGCATGGGAATCGACATCTGCATCTGGCTCTTCGTTCGGTAGCGGGAGTGGGAGCTACAAGGACAAAGGGAAAGGAAAGGAGTCTCTGAGCACGTCAAGTCCCAGGAGGGAAAGAGAGCGAACAGCTCCGGTAGCGGTGGCGAGGTGAGTCATCAATGACGCTCGATAGGCCTGTCCCTTTCATCGAGGTACAAGCCATCACGAGATGAACGCGCTAATATAACTCACCTACTGATAGCCCACCCAGAGCGCGTCGTCCATCTGAATTCCTTAATCCCACTGCTATTGACACACGCAAGATGCCCCACGGCGGCAGGCCCTCTTTCAGCGCCACGGCCGTGCCTAACCTCTCCACCTCAGCGTCCATGGTGTCTCCCCTTAACCCCCTTCCTTCACCATGGACGTCATCTTCAGACGCATCGACGGCCGCGTTTAGTCCCGCCACCAGCGTGACCAGCGATTCCTCTGTACCCACATCGACATCGACGTCCTCAGCTGCCGGTGCGATACGGCTGAATCGGGTGCCGACCAGTGTACGGCTTGCAGCCGAGCTGATAAAGAATACCGGAAACGTGGCCACGCCGCCTCCTCCGCAAACTGCCAGTCCCCCTTCTGGCACGTCTACCGCATCCGTGCCTACACCAAACCCTTCACCTGTTGGTAGCTCAACGACAGTGAACACTATGGGTCCACCTCCTGCTCGGGATCTTCAGCATTTCTCTTCCATGCCACCACCACCTCTCAAATCGCAAATTGCACCATCTCTGGATTTCGCAAAAAGCAGAATCACCAGTTCTGTTCCGGCAACACCCAGTGGCATGAGGAGTATCTCTCCTGCTATCGAGAAGAGCAAATTGCCTACTACAGCTCCAACGTCCGCCAACCCCACCTCTGGCTCTCGCCCTCCCTCTGCTGCCAATCTTGCTCCGCCTCCAGTATTCAAGAGTCCATTGCCGCCACTACAGCCGCGTCCTCGGCCATCGTTACCTGTTGAGGCCGGTGTGTCAGGTGACGGCTTTCCCAATCCTGCTCGGCACCATCGATATCGCACGTCAATGCACGAAGCGACATTGAAATCTGCTATTGCTGCCCAATTCACTGATTCTCCTCCCCCTATACCATCTGACACGACTAGTGAATCGCCGGGTGCGCCAGCTAAGACGGCTCCATTTGGTTTGGGTTTGAGCATGCCCCCCACAACAGCTTTCCTCGTTCCATCCGGCGTCTCTGGCTCGGTCACCCCTGGGGCAACAATTGGAGCTGGTAGCCGAACTCGTTCGACCACCGAACAAGGCATAGCGATGGATTTGGCAGGAGAACCTGTGATAGGTGGCGATGCTGCTAGTCATGCCAGCATGATTATGCAGAGTAGACAGGCGAAGCTGCACAGATGGCGGCCGACTAGCGCGGGAAGCCAGATCCGCGGTGAGGGCGTTTTACCTCCTGCCTTCAACCGTTCTACTTCAGCAGGAGCCCCAGCAATGCTGGCTGCTCCTAGAGCCAAACGTCAAGCTGAATGGGGTGACTTAGAAAGCCCAGCCACTGCCGCTTCATCGCCTGGTGAAGACCTACCGCCGATCCCTGCTTCGATGCACCATCTCACTCCGGTCGCTTCCCTACCTATGCCGCTCACCTCGTCGCTTCTCGCCGGAAGTCCAGGACCGAAAGTTGCGGACAGGTCTTCGGGCGCTGGACCTATACCGTCCAATGCAGGTCCTTCAAGATTCTCCGGCACAGCCTTGGGCATGGACATGGGGACGGGAATGGAGAGACAGTCCAGTGCTAGTGGCACCGTAGGAGGAATTGAATGGGTTGATTGGATGGACTGCTACAAGCGGTATAAGGAAGCGAAGATCAGGGCCGAGGCAGAGATTGCTAGGGATCAGTCTACGGGCCAGACGGATGATAGTCCCAGGACGCGCGCCTTCACTGGAACGATCCCGGAAGAAGCCTCGGTCTCTTCTAAAGATCTCGATGTCACACCTCAACCGAACTACGATACGTCCAGCGCAATCGCTTTAACTCCTACCACATCTAGGGATGATTTCGGTCCCCCTTCCTCGCAATCCGGCTCCCTTCGAAAGCGAAGCCTTTCCATTCGATCTACCTTGTCACTGGTCGATCCCAAACTATCTCCTCTTCAGAAGCGCAGTAGTGTCTTCGAGAGGCCAAGGCAAACTTCTGGTAGCTCGACAAGAACAGACACATCATCGTCAACGGGTGAAGGGAAGAAAAAGAAGAGTTTGACTTCGAAAATGGAAGGTTGGTGGAATGCGGTGAAGAGCAATTTCGGATCAGAACACCACCGGACCAACCGCCCAAGCACTCTCGGCCACCACGTCACGAACCGTGTTCCTTCCGCACCCAGCTCCAGACGACCAAGCGAAATCCCGTCTCTTACGGCTCCTCAGATGGCTTTACTTGCGCCTGACCCCGTTCGCCGAGATTCTTCGCTGAACCTTCGACCCGTTGTTTCCCATGCCGAATTGCGGCCTCGACCTATACACCGCGATGCTCATGACACGGCAAGTATCGTGGGATCAACCTCGGCCGACATCGCGCACCTCTCCCGACAATCATCAGCGGAGACAACAATGCCTCCTTCATTACCTGCACTGCCGATACGCCATCCTTCCACGGTACCTGAGGAAGCTTCATCATTCCCTTCCAGTCGAGGTAGCGGTTCTTTGGAAGCCCGTCGAAAGCAACCCAATCTTCGTCTTGAGCTCGACTCGAACGTCCTTACTCAGCCGAGCTCGCAAAATAGCGAGTCGAGCAATTCTCAAGGTCATCCCAGGATGATTCCTCTCGGGACGAGCGCTTTCGAACGACCAAGTCAAGCTACATCTCGCTCTTCATCTTTCGGGCAATCACTTGGTCCAGGCTTGACTCCAGGAATTCCTCGATGGGACCAAACGCCCTCTCCAGTATACGCGCTTGGGCAAGAAAGGAGAGGAAGCGATGAGAATCGACCTGTCGCTCCGGGGGCCGATATTACCGTTGCTTCCGTCCGCAAACACGTTAGACACCGCTTGAATGCTGCTAAGGAGTCTTGCGATACTACGTTGAAGAAGACCATTGAGGCCATCACCAGCTTCGTCGAAAAAC